ATACAATATTAGTTTTTGGAATTATCCACTACTTTCATCGGTTTTATTGATTTTTCTCCAAAGTTTTACCTTTGGGGTTGGGAGTTGGCACAGGGGCGAGCGAGGGTAGGTGAGCATGCTGATTTCAAAGAACGGAGACAGGGGATTTGCATGGCATAGTTGCACAGGGAAAGGTTGCGCGGATAGGGATGGGACATTTACTCATAGTGTTTCATTGACCGGGCGGAGCCGGGTATGCCAGCTAGTTACCTCTGAACTGCTCCATCAACGCAGGCCGCTGCAAAAGAAGAGCACCTTTCACGAGGTATTCGAAGTAAGAATCCACTCCTGCACCGATACCAGTATCCGTAGCTGTCCATTGCCCTAGAATATTTCAATTGATAGAAACTATATTCAATGATAAAACAACCATACCTGTACGAACATTGATATGGTTGCCCACTAGCCCTATAGAAGATCGAGTGCGCCAAAGAGCTTCCAGCGCCCGAAGTGCAACCCTCTCAAATTGCGGATCACCAGTGAGGCGAGATAGTGTGCCAAACTCTACAAAAAACACTATTCACGGGCCCTATTACTTCTTCAGGAAAAGGTATACACCAGCGTGAGTGTAGGAAAACAGCACAACCTAAGTCTTAAATAAGAAATAAAAGACACTTTATTATGCAAATTACTGAAAGCGATAGTCTCACCGACAATAAAAGTCGACACTCCAGCAGTACAAGTGATGGGTGTTTCACGTTTCGGTACCCCATACTTGAGATTCACAGTTCCATACGGCATGCCAGTTTCTAGATCAAAGCTATATACAAGGTTTAGAGTCTAAAGGTGCAGAAGAGGAAGAAAACCACCATGAGGCCATCCTTACCGGCTCTTACCTGTATTGAAGGCTGGTAATAGTCTGGCAGCCATAGCTTCCGCCAGCCTTAATAAAGGTCCAGAACAGGGCCAACCGTCTTCCAATAACATACCTAAGGAAATTACTTTTCGAGGGTAACAAATGATGAAACCTTTACAATACCTTCAACTCTGCCGCTAAGCATATGGGCTGAGAGCAGCCCTCCTACAACCCGGATATTCGTTTCAAAAACAGATACATTCACATTTGCGTCGGTTCTCACCTGGAAAACTCAAAGGTCTTCAAATCGTAAGTTAAAATGAGATGCACGTTAATCACGGATTGCTTACCGACTTCAATACGAGATCAACGGCACGCTTGAACTCTGTTGTGTTACCCATAACAATCAGAGTATCCAAAGCATCGACTAGAGAAAGTGAAAATGAACCCCATGTATCCTGCCCTGCAACAGTACGGTGAATAAAAGTTCACTCAAAGACTGATAACGGATAATTTTACCTTTGCAAGTGATCGGCATCAACTCGTCGAGCGGGAAGGCGTGGTTGAGATAGCCGTTGTAGGCATGATAGAACATATCTCGTACCTTCTCGCGGTACCTAAACCAGTGCAAGAGTCACAGGTTCCGCTTACTTTGTACAGCCAGAAGTGACGAAAGGCTGAACACTTTCTGGGTTTCCAAGCTTCAATACAGCTTACTGAGCAGTACGTTAGCCTGCGGATGAGATGCGGCAGCTCCCATGGTTGCGCGGTTCTAATTGAGCTGCCATTGATAGATGTAGCTCAAACACTGATAGCAAGAAAGCAGAAGTACTTCAGTAGTCACATCAGATGGATTGGATAAAGCAAGCTTTAAGACTGAGACATAACGAGATTGCAGAAGATGGATTCATTACTTTCATCCTTTCGAAAAACGTCTCAATTAAGTAGATTCTGCACAGAATCGTTTGACCCCATGGCTTGCGGAGGCACCACGCGTTAATCTATTTCATATACAGGAATCGCAGTGCACCGCCCACCCTGATTTTAAAGACAGTGTTCGGGCAAAAAGTCGATTTTGAGATTTTGTGCTT